CTGACTCTGACGTGATTTGAACACGCAACCTTCTGATCTGGAGTCAGACGCGCTGCCGTTGCGCCACAGAGTCTGTACTGTGAAAATCAATGGCCACTGGTCCAGTTCCTGTCAGAGCTCTAGATAACCTGCTGAAGATTCCCAATGCCATGAAGTGAGTAACCTGGAAGCAGCAACACCAAAATGAATGTCTTGCTTGATGTTTGTCTTCTGTGTGACAGAAGCCTTCAATTTCCCTTCACAGTGACAGTTTTTTAAAAAGTTGTTTGAGAGAACGATGGATCAACGATGGATCTCCGATTTGAAAAGTAACTCGGAGAAATGAATTTAAATATATCTGATCAGAACTTCAGCTTTTTCCAAATATGTTTTCTATGTTCTTGTCCACTTCTAAAAGTTACTTTAAAAACAACATTTATTTACTTTTTCATGCTTTATTGAATTCTCTTATCCTGATGTGAATTTTTAAGGTGGAGCTGTTTTTTTTTATTTATTTTTTCCCTCCCTACTAGGCCCACACATTGAATGTCTGTCAGGTTCCTTTTATTTTGAAATTCTCCTGAGAGAAAAACCAAACGGCTGTCAGTTTTTAAGGCTCCTTCGCTCCCTCATCTAGTTCAGAAGCTTGTTTTGGCTTCGCAGACTCACCCGGTGGCCCCAGCCCGCCCTGGAAACCCCCTCGGTATCCTGTGTTCTCCTCATTGACCTTTGACCCCGCTCGCTGTGAACTACGCCATGAAAACAAACAGAAATGAGATCTGGGTTCAACGGGAGACAAGAAGGGTAATTTCTAAAGAGCTTGAGATGCTGGAACTACAGTTGGTAGCTGTTTCCTGCTTGGCACCAAATGATCAAAAAGCAGAAATCTTCTTATCCTAATAATGTGATGTCCTGTTTTCTGTTTCATCAGCGATCTCCAGTTGTGTAGGTGATTCATTGTAAGGCGCCATGTCAGGGGTTAAGTGGCTGTTTAGATTAGAAAACTGCTGTAGCTTCAGGATTCTGGCGTGGTTTCTCCCCTCGACCAGCTATGCTGCACTTAAATTACCTGGGAAAAACGAGGCATTTAAGATCCTGTTTATTCAACTGTCAGTGGAAAAAATGTCACTTTCTAACTCACATCCATAAGAAACATAAACAGAAGTTGGGTTGAGGAAAACGTTGCCTTTGGATCGTTCAGACAGAAAAGCTTTTGTCCTTTTAGCTAACAGAACTTTGTAGTACAAAACGCCAGTTAATAAAACCCAAAGACTGACGTATGATTGTTAAATTCATCTAAAATCCTGTTTGACCGTTATAAGATCTGATAATTTCTCTAAATATTACACATTACCTTCCATTGTCAGTTTCATTGTAAAATCTATCAAATATTTGTTATTTGATAGTTAATGTAACCCAGGAAACAATTCAGTCACTTCTTAAAAAAAGAAAAAAAAATTAACAATATACTTACAAATAACCACCAATGTTTTTGTATGTATTTTTTTAAATTGTTTTTAATGTCTTAATTAGGTAAAAGAAACAAATAGGATAAAATAAAACCAATTATTTAATGGGAAGGGATTTTTTTATTTATTTTAAGAAATGATCATTCAGTCGTAATCATTCGGTGTTCATTAGAGTTTTGTCATATTTGTATTTATTATCTCACATTTCTCTGGTTCTTTCCTCCCTGCTGTTTGGGTTATTCTCTTCTTAGTTTTAGTCTTTCTCTCTTTTGGTTATAGATCCATTTGAGTCTCAGTTCAGCTCCCTTCGTGTTATTTGTCTCCGTCTCTCTGGTCTCGTTCCACATCACCTGTTATTAATCTCACCTGGTTTCGTCGTCATTTCCAGCCCTGCTCCAGCGCGTCATCTCCTGCTGAACGCTGTTCAACGCTGGTTCACCTCAGGTCTCTGTTCTTTCTGCTCATGCATTCCTGTAAGTTTTTCCTGTTTTTATTATGTAACATTTAACCTGCCAGTTTTTTGTTGCTTTTTGTTCTTTGCACTTGAATTCTACTGAAAATCATCTCAAAATATTGCATGTTTTAAGGATTTAAATGATACATGACTTTATGATCGTAAGATGCTGGAGTTTCTTCATTCAGAGTTTCAGTCTGCAAGGGAAAATATTCCTAATTGGGCGAATTGAGGAGAAACATTTCTGTAACATTTCCATGTAACTTACATTCAGCTGGTTCTTGCAGAATTTGTAACAACAAAACTAAAGTATTTGTTACATTCACAGAAAAACAGGAGTTGTTTATTTGAGGTGTAAATCACTTTGTTCAGCTTTAGTCTATTTTAGTGTAATTGACTTTTGGGATTTTGTATTTTAGTGTTGATGGTTTCGTTCAGATGTCCTTGATTTATTAGTTATTAGATATTAGTTCCTCCAGTTTGAATCAACATGTTTTAGTTCATTTCACTAATTTCTGTTTACACTTGCTGTGTTTTTGTAGTTTTAATTTTTTACTTCCTGTTTTATTTAGTCTTGGTCTTCAGAAGATTTAACACACTGGTCCTTTGTTTAGCTACCGAATATTTATTACTCATTAGTTTATAAGTCAGGTCTGTTTTGTTCTCAGTGTTGGTGATAAAAATGTTTACTTGTTATTCAGTTACCATAATGTTGAAGGAATGAAACATCAGTGTCCTGAAACCTTTATGTTCCTGGTTCAATGCATCTCAGTGAATGACTGATTTTTCTCCTCAGTGCTGTCGGGTTCTTCAGAGTCCAGCTCATCACCTGGTTATTTGACCAGGTGTGTTGAAACGGAGACGTGTCTAAAAGCCGCAGCACGCCGGGCCTCCAGGCCTGGATTTGAGAATCTCCGTTCCAAATAATCTCAAATGTATATTTGCATAATTCAAACAACCAACTTGCAGTCAGGCGTTTACTTTTTGTTTCAAATAGATTAATAAAAACGACTCGGTTATAAACAGACATGTTTATGCATTGATTGAACATGATTTAAAACATTATGGTTTTCAGGATTCAGAAATTGTAAAAAATATTCTCAAAGCATCAGAAAGTGCCTGTCCCTGCCTCCATGCCCCAGTAAATGTCTGATTAGCTCTGACTGTGCTGTGGCTGCTAAGAAACTGCAGCTGCCTCCTTCCTGCCTCTCCTCACCACACCGTCATCATTCCCCCCCAAAACCGTCCGACCCCCTGAAATCTCTGCCGCCGCTCCTTCATTTCCAGGCGTTGCAGACCTGAGCGAGCAGACGGACCAGCCGAGCATGACGGAGAAATGAAGTGAGAAGTGCTGCAGAGGTGGAGGGGGGCTGAATGTGTGTGCTCTGAATACTGATCAGCCATCTGTCAAAGAACATGCTGAATGGAGGAAGGATTTTCTGGCTCCTGATTGGTCCGATCCCCGGTGGCGTCTGCATGCATTAAGGCTGGATAAACACAAGCACTCAGACACTGGAGTTTCTACAGTCTAACTTTATTTTCTTTAAAGGACAGACAGTCATTTGCTGTGCATGTTGTTGCTCTGTGAAAACATCTCACCAGAGATTTTGAAAAGTTTATGAACTGAGTGACAGATGATGCAAAGGCCACAAACATTGAAATATCACCAATTAAAGTCTTTTATCCATCTCATATAAATATGTAGGGAATCCTTTTGTGAGCTCTTACAGTAGAAAACTTCTTGTCCTGATAATGGCAAATCTTGGATGAACGCCGTCAGTGTTTTGTCACGTATCCATTTTGAAGTTGTTGCCATTATTACCACTAAGAAAACAATTCATGTTTCTTCTTTTATTTTCCCCCTCAAAGTCCTGGTTTAAAAATGAAACCAGGAAATGCTGAACATTATCTGCACTAGGAGCTGGATGGAAGTCCTTTTCCACTGCACCAACAGAACGTGGGACGAAGGACATCAGCCTCTGGTGTCCTGGACTAAAGGTTGCTTTAGTAGTGGTCTTCAGCTCATTTGCATTGTTGGTTCCTCTGCCTCATCTTCCTCCTGACAATAACCCATAGATTCTCCGGGGACGTTGAGGCCTGGCCTCTCAGAGGTGACCCCACTGCTCACACTATAACTGCTGGCGATAACTGCAAGGACAAGCTGTGGAGACAATGAATGGATGGATGAATTTTGTTCAGTGCCAGTTCGGATTATATGACACATGGTCATTAAAACTGGTATTTGTACCGTTGGCTGCATGGGAACGTATGAAGTCATAGAGAAAACTGAAATCAGCACTTCAACAAAGAAAAGCATGAAATTCTGCATGCGAGCGTCTTTGGTGTGTTGGGTCTGAAAGCTCTGACTCAGCCCAACGGTTCCCTTAAACACTTAAATGATCTTCCTTTTTTAACAACTTTTTCTTTCCACTCAACTTCCCATGATTTTGCTGGAACCCTGAACAGAGCAAGACCTTTTGCTACTGCTGCTCCCTGTGGAGGGCGTCGGCGACCACCTGCTGGACGTCTGTGCTAACTGTGCAGCGTAAAATGTTATGTTCTGACAAACTGAATTTGGAGATTTTATTGATTGTAAGCCATAGTCATAAAGAAAATCAATAGAAATTCAATCAAATCTAATACGAGTTTTAATTTTTAAAGGAATTGCTAAAATAAGCAACATTTTCAATGATATTCTGGTAAATTGTACTGGCGTCATGTAAAAGTATAAAAGCATTATGAGGACAAAAGGAAGCCTTCAGGTCACCATAAGGAAGAGACCAAAATAAAATGGCCATAAGGTGGAAATTAAAACTCCTGAATTTGCTGGAAGCTGAAGTGAGGCAGAGCAGAGCGGCTCCCATGTGGCTGTGATGTGGGAAGATGTGCAGAAACTCTTTAAATATTTCTGAATGGGGCTGAAATCTCAGTTAAACGCAAACCTTCACCACCATCAACTACCAGATCTGAACATTCAGCAAATTTTTCAGCACTTTGTTACTTTACTAAAGAGAAAGTCCTGAATGATCGGTGACAGTGAAAAGTTGTCTCTGATGAAAATGTGATGGATGAAATAAAAAACCACGATTGGGTCTCAGTAACTGCGTCGTCAGAAGGATGTTTGCAGCTCGGAGGTCTCTGGATGGTTAGTAATCTACCTTTGATTGTCTTCATTTCTGCTGCAGGAGCATCTCATTATGGGCTAAAGGTCCTTCCACTGCTCAGACTAGCAGCATTGATCCTCCTCACCTTGGACTGAGTGCAGTCCTTCAGCAGAAACCGATCGGACAGACTCACAACACAAAAGATGAGGCAGAGAACCGCAGAGTCAGCAGAGCGCAGAGGCCACAGTTCGTCAGTGTTCGATCAAAGAAAACACTCAGGAGGAGGAAGTCAATGTGGGCGATTCAGCGGTATGAATTTTTCATTGTTTCTGTAACCCCTGGTGCCCTGCAGAGTGCAACGCTGCCTCGAGAAGTTATTACTCAAAACTGTCAGAATGTGAAAGTTTGTCTGCAGGAGCTTCAGCTGAACCCAAACCAACACAGTGAGACATCAGCTGTTTGTTCTTCTACCAGAGCTGCAGCTCTGTTTGCTTCCACTCTAAACAGTTAAACATCGTTGGGTTCAGAGAAACTGTCTGATGTGCTTCATGTCTGAGCATCAAAATTATACCTTAAAACTGTCAAATCATAAGAGAAGATATGGAAGATTAACTGTTGACTTTTCTTGAATTCTATTTCTATAATTGCCTGCTGTCATTTTACATTCTCATGGCCTAATCACCTGCCTCAGAAAAACATTCCCATTGCATGATGCTGCCACTACCATGCTGTACAGTGGTATTGTGTTAGCCATACACAATGGAGGCCAGTTCATTTGTAGTAAGGAATAAAGTAAGTCTTTACTTTAACAGTACATTTTAGGATAGAAAACTCACAAAGTGCTTGGACCAGTTGATTGCATACAGCATGAGCTGCTGCCTTCAGCCAGGAAGTCGTGTCCTCGGTTCGTGACGGCTGCCATGGAGGGGTTTGACCCGTTACCCTCCTGTTGGTGGGTCAGCTTGGTGACTGGCCACTGCTCCCTCCCTGTCCTCCCTCTTGCTTCATATCCATCAGGCTCTTTCTGCTGCCTCTCTTGCTTCCTGTCTCTCCCACTGATGTTTCCAGGATGATTGGGTAGCGAAGCCTCTGCATCCTGTTGCAACTCGGCATATCCAACTGCACCCTAAGTTTTCCTCTCAAATGGCTCCTCAGATCCTCCAGTTGACTACGTCCCTCCTCTACAACTCTAGTGGTCAGCCCACGTCCACTTCCTCTTGGATAGGTTCCTCCATGTCTGTGCGCCATTGTCCTTTGACCTCCACCATTCTTGAGTTCCTCAGCTCCTCTGGGTTTCTAATTTCTGCCTGGATCAAGGTTTACTTTTCTATTCATGATTGGAAGTGAATCAATCCCAGCTCTTGGCTTCCTTACTGGGGTTTCCAGCAAAGTCTCTAAGCTTCAGGTTCCTCTGCCTGCGACAGTCATGTCCAGGCTTTCCACTGACCTCTGGGTCTAATCTTTATTCCTGCTTCACTGACCTTGTTGTCTATTGAATCTATAGTCCATCAATCATGGGACTGAAGGAAGAGAGTTCCGGGGCAGCTGTTGTTTTCATCAGTGACCAGGCCTGGCCATCGCAGGCTCTGGACCAACGGGACAGTCCTCTCTGTGGACAGACCTGGACTCTGAAATAAACCCAGTGAATTACAGGTCGGACCTCAGATGATTCCTGTCAGCATTACTGCAACTGTTCTGGAGAAATTTTACTGATGCAACTCACAACTAATGTTATCTCAGCTCCCCTCAAAGGACAAATGCATAATCAAATCAACCCGGTCAAATTCAGTTACTTACATTTCATTCTGGTCTCAGGTATTCAGCACATATACAGAAAATCCATTTATTATGTTTCTGAAGTTTGTTTTAGTGTTCAAGGCAGAATTACTGTGTCTGGTGCAGAGCTCACCCTGATGGATTTTAATATCTCCCCACTGACAAAGCGAGGGAGGATTTTCTGTCCTGCATGACAGACGCAACGTTAAGAGAATTCATTCAGGCTTTATTGAGCAGGACAGAGTCTCGACTTGCCGATCAATCGGATGCCTCCGGGACGCAGTAAGCTGTCAGCTGTGAGTGAAGACTGAAGGGATGAAGCAGAGAATCCTGGACATCCATCCTCATCACTTCTGCTGCTGTGCTTCTTCCTGCCACCACTGAGTGACATGGGAGCTCATGGAATATCATGGAAATCAACAATCAATGCAAAATGGTTGCAAAAGTTGGCATCTGCGGATTTATTGCATCTAGAAACTTTTCTTTTGACTTTTACACACAGAAGTCTGACATCTTGTTTCCAGTATTTTTAGCCCCATCTTCAGTTTGGACAGCAGCAAAGTTCATAAATGTTCAACAATTATTGTTCCCATGCTTTGAGTGAACCCATCTCTACCATCAGAAGGTGAAGCATGTCTGCAGAAATTACTTTCACCCAAAGGTTTGGGATCCTTCTGCTCATCATTGTGTCACTAACTTGTAAACATCACACATCTTGAAGTAACAACGCCAATAAACTGGCATAGAAGAGATTACAGCTGGAAGTAAGCATCAAATAAACCCAACATTTTCTATATTTTTCACTACTTTATGTATTGGCAGCACACAACTAGTCCATCAGGTGAGGGACAGAAAAACGGCGCTGCTTGCAGCGAGCACCAGATGTAGAGCATCACATTAGTCATTGCTCCAGTATAACACCACATTCGTCCAACTGGCGATGGAAACTCTCCTGAATATGCCATAAAATAACAAAACCGACCCACACAAACCACTCGGTGGAAACGAGGCTCCCATCTGGCCTGGGGTACCTGGGGTTCCTCCTTGGCTTGTTACCCATAACTCAATCTTGGTTTAGTGGAAGACAGTGGATGGACAGATACTCTGCCTTTTAGCACAGCTATTGAGGCCCGTAGAGATGGACTGTTATCCATACTTATGAACTGTGGAAAGAAGCTGGAGTACCAAGAGAGAAACACCAGATCCACAGGGAGAACCAACTCAGGGCAGCTTAAGGTTGAATACAGAGCCAGAGCTTCGCTTAAGAGCATCTTCTGCTTTGAGTTGAATCTCTGGTTGTTGATGTGTGAATCTTTGTATGTTTGACGTCAAAAATATTCATTAATCATTCTTTCACCAGACAGAATAACACCGACGGTGGCATAAATGTGTATTTAATGGTCCAAAATAATTCAGCAGAAGGAGTCCAGACATCATCCTGGATGTGTCGGGGGGAGGGAAGTCGAACCTGTTCATACTGGCTCCAGCCTCCTCGCTGTGGCTTTCATTCGCTCCCCGTTATGCTAATGAAGCTGCCGCTCCGTCTCAGGAGGATTTACACCGACACGGTTTTACCAGATCTCTCCAGCGAGGGTCGTTGGAAATGTGATTCAGGAGTCTCAGGGGAAATAAGCTGGTGAGGCTCCGCTCCAGGCAACGTAATATCCTCAGCCTGTTAGACGGAGCAATAATCTGCAGCGGGCCGGGCTGAGGGAGGTCCGCTCACCTCCTATCCCCCCGAGGCGCTGAGTGACGCTTGGGGAGATTCAGTTGTCGTTTATGAGGCCGCTGTCGATCAGTGTGGGTTCCTGTCACGCAGACGGGAACCAGCAGAGAACCAGAGGTGAAGCCCCAGAGGCTCATGGGAAGGTTTTACAGCAGCAGCTCTGTTAACAACCTGGAACATCCAGACAGAGCGTACGCCCGGCGACCCGCCCGGTAACCAGCCCGGTAATCCGCCCGGCGACCCGCCCGGTGACCTGCCTGGTGATCCGCCCGGTGACCTGCCTGGTGATCCGCCCAGTGATCCGCCCGGTGACCTGCCTGGCTCCACAACCAGCTGGATTATTTAATCTAGTCATGATAACTCAGCACAGGAAACATCAAGAAGTCAATGAATCCAACGCCTTGAAGAACATGGACAGCTTTGTGATTCTCAGCTTTCAGATTTTCTTCCAAATTAACATGAAATTCGATTCTTCAGTTAATATTGTATTTATTGACCAGAGTTCATAACCAATAACTGGAAACTGGATAAAATGCGAGTTGACTTCATTTCATCCAGACTGCAGACGCTTTGAAAACTATCAGACATGATTTAGTTCCACATGTGGAAGAACTGCAATCCAGATCTGTGTGAGAAGACCAGGCCATTCACACCGCCGTGAAAAAATCAGATGTGGATCCCATTTGCCAGCTGTGTGAACTTGGTCTGTTGGATTCCCCCGTGTGCCTGCAGAGGAAAGTCAGCCCAGGTTAGATGGAAGAGCATACCACACGGAGTGGCTGTAAAAGCATTATTCACACCTAAACCCACAGTTCAGAACCGAGTCCTCTTCATGTAGAGCTTGGGTTGTCTGTTTCATCTCAGTTACTATAAGCAATGTAAGTATTAAGAAAACTATTAATTATCAGCTGTAAATCTCCAACAGCCATAAACTGTTTATAGGCAGCAGTTTTTCCTGGATGAATCTTTTCTGAATCGTTATTTACAGGTTTCTGAGCTGCTTGTCGCTCCCTGAACGCCTCATGCTGCTTCCTGCTCTGCTGCAGGATCTAAATTATGTTTTTAAGTGAATTCCCATTAAGCTTAAAAGCCATTTTTCATTACGCTGCTCCTGTCTGCTGCCCCCCCCACCAGCATTCAGACAAACAAGAATCACATGAGGAGCTCATCTGCATAACATCTCAGCTGTCAGTGAGTTTCATGTCTCCAGTAGCTGCATGTCTCCGTTGCCCCTGTTGAAGAACAGAAGCTGTTGATGTCTCTGTGTGTTTAATGGGACATAATTTAGGTTCAGCCATGAGCGTTTAGCTTTCCTCCCGGTTGAGGAGCTTCAGGTTTTTGCACCACTGGTTGTTTTTGTGGCGCTGTGCGCTCCGAGGAGTGAAGGTTAAAGAGCAGAGCATGATGGATATGATCTCATTAGAAAAGGGAAGCTGGGCTTTAATTTCCTCTTCTGTGCTTCATCTTTATTAACGTCAGAGCGGTCGATGATGAGCCTTCGAAGACAGAAAGCAGAGATGAATTCAGCTCAGCGCTGAAGGCTGAGAGCAGGTCCAGTTCAGGACACACTGCAGGTCTTCACTGCATTTTCTGTGTTTGTACGTCACTGAATAAAAATACTGTTAGTTACTTTAATTTATTGGTTCAGAAATGAAACCATTTTTTAAATTTTTCTGGCACTTTATTGCCAGTTCAGATCAGGAGTTTCCAAGTCATTCCTGTCACCTTCAGGTCAAAATGCCTGAGTTTCCTCATCAGCATTCAGTAATTCAGAGGTTCGGTAATGAAACGGTAATTTAGATCAGGTGCTGGAGATGGGTTGCATCTAGGACAGCAGCTCTGGAAGGCTGGACTTCGTTACCTCTGCTCACTGATTGGCCAGTTCATACGACGCCTGCAGCTCATCTTCACTACATAACATTTTAACATTTTTGACCAGAATACTAACTACTCTTTTTCACATTCTCAGAGGATAACCTGGAACCTTTAAGTGGAGCTCAGGCACCTGGGGAACCTTTTAGCCTGAACACCCTGGGAAGGAAAGCAGAGGTGAGTCGTCTGCAGAAGGAAATATGAATATTTATCTCCTCACTGTGAAACTCAACAGTCCATCCAGCTGGACGTCTGGAGCCTTCAGTTTCTGTCCAATGGACGTAAAATCTGTTATCAGAAACAATCTGTGGTGTTTTTTAATGCCACACATTGGCTTCACTCATTAGGTTTAAGGTTTCTGAGAAGAGCTGCAGAAATGACAGTAAATCCATGGCTGAACTTGAATTGGTTACCAGAACAGTTTGAGATCTTCTGTTTAAAATGACTTTTTCTTGACTGTGAATCTCTTTGTTCTTTGTTTTGGTTGCATGAAGAGTGCTGCACTAATATTCCTCCATGACTGGTTTGAAGAATCACTGGCAGGAAACGACAATCTGACAGCACAGAGTTTTTATGAACTGCTGTTTTATTGGTTTCTTGGAGGGAACAGTGAAGTTGATGCCACTGCTGCCTGCCTTGCAACAAGAAGGGTTTGAACACGGGGCTGAAGTTATTTAAATGAATAAACGGAGTTTGGAGACTCTGCAGTGTTTATTGTTTCAGATTAAAAGCGCAGCGTGATGCATGACCACGACCAGCAGAAAAAACAAATCCTTCATTGCTTTAAGCTGCTGAATTCCCTCATCTGTTTTACCTTGGATAAATGTTTGAGGAAACTTCAGATTTCTGCTGTTTAGACAAAATCAATTAACATCTAAACATGTGGAGCTTAAGCCAAACAAACCCATAAACGCAACAAACAGATCAAATATAATGAGCAACTGTTGGAAAGGTTACAGTTTCCATAATAACATTTTAAATAAAAATGTAATAGAAATAACTTCTTTTATCATTTGGATTTGCGCTCGTGACAGAAATGAGCCTCAGTTTTTATCATATTTTAACTTTTTTTTTTTTTACCAACATGCTGCATACTCAGGTTTTAGTTATTTATAAATGCATAAATATGAAGAGCTATTTTATTTTATTTTTTTGGACCTTTCATTAAATCGACCCAATTTGTCCCACAAGTCAAAAATATGTATTACTGTAACACTTCCACCAGGGGGAGCTGTTCTACGGACTCTGTTCATTAGGAACAGACATCAGGTTGACCATGAATACAAAATGAAACCTTTTTACTAGTTTGGTTTATTTTACTTACAAAATGTACTTTTTAAATTGCTTTCCAGATAATATTCTCATAATTATTTATCTTTAAAAGAGAAATAAACTTACCGAACCCAAATAAGGCCTTAAATTATGTTGAAATACAATTTAAAATATGTCTGTGGAATAAACCTCCTGTTAAATCAACAGATCAGTGAGTTGTGGAAAATGTTCCTGCGACGTCCAACATCTGGTGAAAACCCAGAGAGGTGGAAATGAGTGGAGGGGCCCAAACGGTCAAAGTCAAACTCAAACACATTGGACCACACAGCGTGGATAATTACTGTAATTTCAGTAACATCTGAGCAGCTGACAAACATGGCTGCCTCCCTGCTGAAGCTGCCCAGATGGGGTCAGAGGTCAGGTTTATGCTCAGAGCTGTGAGTGATGGAAGGGGCGGAGCTTCAGAAGCTTAAACGCAGCAGCAGCACATAGAAATGTACGATGCAGAACATGTCAGGTGACGCAGCTCCAGCTAGAGCTGCTGCAGGAAACGGAGCAGCCGTAAAAAGAACTGAAGGAAATAAATCGAGACAAAATCAATGCCAACTAAATATATTTTTTAAGACGACTAATTTTTGAGGAAGAAGAAAATGGAGCTGTCATTGATCCACATTCATCTGACCTCCAATTGTTTATTTCACGTTAACTGGGGAAAATGCAGCTGGAGAAGAAGAAGCCGATAAACGTGAATCTAAACTAATGGCTGTGCTGCAGAGGAACTGAGTAAAGCAGATAAATGTTTCCTGGTGGACCAGCCTGAGTCCAGGGAGGGTTTTCCAGCTGGGTGGAAATGAAGACGACATTTTATTTCAGGAAAACAAGAACTCTTAAAGGGACGGTGTTGTATATTTTCCAGGCATTTCATAACAGTGACTGTTACCGTAAAAATGTTGTTCATATCAAATATGAGTTAAAGGAAATTTGACGTCATAATTTAACACCAACTTCTGTGGTTCTGTTTAAAATGACTTCGGCAGACACAGCTGTCCTGAGTCCAGATGTCTCCTCTCCGTTATCCGTGGACAGAGACAAACATTCACTTGTTTTCTGTGGGTTTGTTATATTAGAACCATTCACTTTTCTTAGATTGAAAATGGATTTAAAAACTTGTAAATTTAGATCATCAACATGATTCCTTCAAAATAAGATCCTCAGATGCCCCTCATGGTCAGTGATGTTGAATTCAGCCTGTCACAGTTTGGATGACGCTGTGTTCTGATTGGCTGGAGCTCCAGTGACCAGCGTGGGCCGACCCCACAGACGGAGGCGGCTGACGCCTCCATCCGGAGCGATGATGAGCCGAACATGGCTGACGGGCCAAGTCGGCGTCAGATCTGCTTTGCTGTAGTGATGCCTGTGATGAGGGCGGAGCTGAAGCCCAGAGGAAGGCGGAGGTGAGGACGCCGATCACAGAACTGTTGGAGGCGATCTCAGTGGTGATAAATGTTACCTTCTGAGGTGGGAGAAGAACTTCCCATTTCCCAGAGTTCCATCTGGTTTGGACGCAGCGCGCCTCCTCCTCAGGGGTTAAAAGACACGCTTCGATCCGGCAGGAGTCTGGGAAATTACCTGAGTGGGAAACACGCGGATAAAAAGATGGATTTGTTCCTGGAGGACGCAGCAGACTTGACTCGGATGTACCTGCCTTTGAAATGGTTGGTGTCCACCTCAATGCTGCCAATCAGCCCAGGATGACCGAGACGAAACACGGCCCACTCCCAGCCCGGCACCTGGAGGATCCCCTGCTGGTCTGCCTGCAAGGCGACGCCCAGGGAGAAATTTCAAACATTTCACCTGAAGCCTCCATGTAAAACATCAGCTGAGCTGTGAAACGTGAAGAACCAGCAGCTGATGGAGGCAAAATAAAAACTGAAGTGCAGGAAAGAAATGTTGTATTAAGGTTCACAGTGGAAGCTGTGGATTGTTGTAGTTGTTGGTGTTCCTCAGGGCTCTGTCCCTGGACACATTTAGTCCAACATTTACATAAAATTAAATGCTTTGTAGTGCAGATTCAAAGTCTACAGTCAGTTTATCCCTTTAAAAAGTTAAATGAGTTTTCAGACTCAGAATGTTAGAAATGACTGAGCTCAAATTAAGAAAGCATCTTTATTTCAAAACTACATTTTGGAAATAAATCCAGCGTAAACTTTTCACCTGAAAGTAAAAGCTTTTCTCTGTTATGCTTTTTATCGTCCTGCTTTAATGTTTAACCCTGGGAACAGTTATGAAAAACAACTTTGTAGTTTTTAGGAAACTGGCCTCATAACTTTAAAACATCAGCGCTTTGATCTGAGCTCAGTGTTTCAGTTACCAGTTTAAATGATCATGTCATTCTCTTCAACTTTAACTGTATATTTTGTAGCATCAAATAAATGCATGAGAAATATTTCTGATTAAAAACCAAACATTTTGGATGCTATTCATGTTGAAACCTTGAGCGTTTTGGGCCGGTCTAATCTGCGGGCTGTTTCCCATCCGTCCGCCATGTTGGCGGCTCGACCACGTCCTGTAAAAATGGCAGAGAGGGAAGTAATTCAGACTGGACTGAAGACATGAACACAGAGCAGGCGGTGGACAGACGTCTTTATGTTACAGAGAAATGAGGATAAAATCAATTCTGCCTTTAATAATCATTGTGTGGTTTGGTGTCGACTCGTCTTCTGTGCTGCTTTAATGATCTGTTTGCACAAACGACTCGCCACCAATCAGTAAACTGAAGTTTTATGTTGGGAAAAATAGAAATTTATAGTTAATTTAAGAAAAAGGGAAAAATCTCAATTATTCATTAATTAACATAACAATCACAAATATTACATATTGATTCTTTAACTTTTGTATATTCTTTTTTTCCTGTTCATAAGTTTGATTACCGATCAGTGGACAGTTGTGTGTTTTTATGTCTAGCTGCTGTTCAGCCGAAGCCTTAAAGCGTCTCTGGAACCAGAAGGACTCGGATTCCTACTGGACTGACTTCTGGTCAGAAACTAGAGGAAGTTTCTGATTGTTGGGTGGGAGTTTGTTTTGTAGTTTAGTAATTTTTAAATATAATTTCATGCATTCAAAGAGAAAACATTTTTACTGAAGTGGGCTGTACAAGTCTGTGTGAATCCAGACTTTCTTCTGCCAGTTTAAACATTGTGGTTCCCTGATCTGACCTCTTGGTGCAGGGTCAAGTGATTGACTTAAATCGAACCAATCATGTTGCGCGGATGTCCAAAGTGGGCATCGCTGTAGCCGAGGCAGACTCCCCCATTGGTCAGCGCTACGAGGTCGACGTCCTGATTGGCCGGGATGGAAGACCAATCCCTCTGCCCGACACCGAACACCCTGAGTCTGGCTATCCCTCCATCTGGAAGAAATCAGAGCATTTTACTCGTCATGTGATCATTTGAGGCCAGAGTCGCCAGCCATCCATGTCTGTCCTGATTGTGTGTTTGTAACGTACCTGGATACATGTTGAGGCGCAGGTGTGTGACTCTGCTCCTGCTGCTGACCCTGAAGTAGTGGTGGCAGCGTTCTGCGTATCCAGGCTGCAGCGGCGCCACGCCCACCAGCTCCGGCCAAACCTCCGAGCTCAGCTGGCGATCAGAAACCGTCAGTCAGCCGTCATCCATCAGCACCACCACATGATGTCTGTCAGCGCCGACTCCCATTTAGCAGAGGTCATGTGTCACCATGATGACATGTTTTTGATCTATTGTACCACTGACGGTTACCTTGGCAACAGCAGCTATCTGAGCTGCAGTGGCGGCCATGCCGGTCCGATCTTCCCCGGGAGTGAACGAGGGCAGCTCATCTGGTCAGGAGGACGACTTTAACTCACTTATATCAACACATTTCACACTTTAGTAGGAGAATGATGTGTGGAGGCAAAGGAAGGGAAGATGGAGAGCGTCTAGAGCCAGTAGACAGGAAGGACTGATGATCGGTACCGAGGCAGGTGGCCTGGATGGAGACGTAGGGCGAGTGGTTTCCAGTGAAGAAAGACGTGTCGACATCAAGTCCATGAATCAAACCAGGGACTCCCAGCTGAATGATGCACCAGTCATGACCTTCAGGGAGCAAAAGCAGCCATGTTTATGCTTCATACTGTAAAATCTGCATGGTGTTTATATGCAGATGGATGAGGAAGAAATGTTTGAGGTTTATGTGATTCGACTTTATTCTCGAAAATGACCTGCTGTGGTTTTAGGTTTAATATCTTTTATCAAACTGCTTTCTGATGGAGACACAGAAAGCAGGGATAGGATGTGAAGTGGAACCAAAAGATAACCACAGGTTTTTACAAAAATAAATATCTGAAAAGTGTGGTGTAGATTTATTCTCAGCCCTGAATCAGAACTAGAACCATATTCACCTTCAGGACCGTTGGAGGTTTGATTGTTTTTCTCCGTCTGTCTTTATAAAACATCTCAAGTTCATTTAGGTCGAAGGAGAACATCTGGTGCTGAATGCAAATGTTTGCCACACTTTTCAGATTCTGTTTAAAACCATTCTCCACTTTAACTTTAACAATTATCCTTCTAGTTCAACAAGAAAATTAAAATGTTTTTATGATTATGAAGAGAAAAATATGAAAAACGTTTTAAACAAATTTTTTTATAACTTTCTCTGTTGTTTCATTGAACTGGTTTTAATCTCATTAATGTAAAAACAGAATTTCACTCAAACTTTAACAGTTTCTGTCTGAGTTTCTCTGGATGAATCTGATCTGAGGCCAGAATCGGACGATGTTCAGCGTGATGCGAGTTTTACGGCGTTTGGTTTCAGACGCTAACCAGGGATCCTCTTCCTCCTCGTCTCCCATCCGTCCATCCACTTCCCAAACTCCGTGAAGGCCGACGGGATGAACTGCGGAGGCTCTCGCTGTGAAAACGCAGCAGATGTTTGAGGAGCGACAGCAGCGAAACAAACGGTAATGAACTGTTTCAGGTAAAGGACGGCGTGAAAACAACTGAGCTCACTTAGAATTAAAATATTACTTCATAACTTTTGGCTTTAAACGTATCGACGTCTTTAAATGTGGCTGTCGAGCCAAAGATTTTAAACATTTGATTTACAGCTTTTTTGGCTCAGAGTATCTTGGGGATGTTTTCTTTTCCAGATTTAATGATATTTTTACTTAAGCAGATCAAATCCTGCAGGTAAAATCAGACTTTCACCTTCAGCAGGTTCTTCGCCGGAGCAAACCATTCATCTGTGGCAAAAATAACCTGGAGGAATCACACCAAGCACAGGTTAGAACAATGAAACTTAAAGTTGTTTTAATGTTGCTGGTTGAATTTATTTCATTTAAGACTAAAAATTTCAGATTGAACAAATTGTACATACATTTTATTCTCTTTCTGGGTTTTCTTAGCAGATTGTAAATGTTGTAAATTTCATTATTTGAGATCGACTTCAGTGCAAACACAGTAACACAATCATGCTTTGCAATATCAGAAAACCCCTGAAGGAGGCCGTTTTAATAGGTACGGAGTGGAGTTCATCATTCCTCTATGCAGAGCTGCCAAAAGGTTCAAGATGCTTCAAATTTTGATTTTTTTGTCTTATGCTAATATTTTCCATCTGGAAAACAATCTGACAGTTTAGGTGTTAATTTTACTTTCTCTTCTCTACATTATTCACCTTCCCTCCCTCCGTCTCGCAGGCCAGGTCGTTAAACTGCAAGAAGTCCGGTTCTGCTGCAGCCGTCGCCCGTCTCTCTGCCATCCTGGAGTTTTTCCTCGGTTTTCTCAGAGGTGAGCAGAAAGTGAGAGCTGCTGCTCTTCCTGCTGAACCTTGAAATAAAAGTCCCATGTGGCTTCAGCCCAGCGGGTCCAAAGTCCAGCAGCTGTTTGTTCTGACAGGCTGACTCTGGGTTCAAGTTCAGGAAAACTTTATTGTCCCTTAAAAGTGAATTCTGATGTTTTCCGTAATTCAAAAGGAGCCTCCACCAAGTAGTCAGTTAATATTCTGATTTACTGAGAAGCAGCTGTAAAAACAACTTCATCTAATTTGCATTTTAGAGGTGAATTCAGTTAGAAATGGAATAAAGTCTCACCTGAGAGACTTTAATGTGTTCAGATTAAACGTTTTGAGTAGAAATAATGTCACTTTGGTCAGATTCCACCATCTAGTGGAGATGATATGTAATTACACCATAATTACTGCAGCTTTACATGATAAACTGATTTAATTCACTGAATTTAGTCGTTTTAAGCAAATAATCAGATTAAATAAAAACTTTTTCTGTCCAAGGAAACTCTGCTGACTCCAATGAGTGAAGGATCTTTGCAGCAATAACTCCTACAAATGGAGCAAAGGAATCAAATTTAAAATATAGTTTTATATGTTACACATTTACTAACATTTCACTGCACCACTGCAATATAAATATATAATCTATGTTCTTCACAGCTGCTAAATATTTCTTCCAGTAAACGAGGAAATGGATTCAGTTTTAGGAGATGAACCTGGAGATCAGAGGATTTTATTATCTGATAAAAGGCCATGAATGTTTATAAAAAATAACAATTCAGACCAGAAACACATTAAATTAAACTTCAGGACCATTTTGGAGAGAAAAGAGTTTTATTTCCATTTTATTGTCCCAGTGAACATGACCTGTTATTACAGACGACAGTGATGTCTAATAAACTTCATGTCCAGAAAACAAAACTTCTGTGGAGAAAAATCCCCTGAGGAAGGAACCAGGAAGGAAACGTTTACCGTTTATCACAGGTCAGGCTGGTTTCCACCTCATCGTTACCTGAGTTTAACTCAAGCTGATAAAAGATAAACTGCTCCTGCTGCACATTTCCGGATTAAAATACACATTAGTCTTGTAATTTTCTGAGAAAGTGAGTTTGTGTTTTTTGTTTGCTATGAACCAAATTCATCAGAATTTACAGAAACGACCAACTGAAGCAAATCAATAATGAATATATAACTGATAAACGGTGACAAATGAACATCAATTTGTTTTCAATAACGGGCATTAAAGTGTTAAAATGCAACAGCGCCTCCTACAGTCACAGAGTTATGGTGCAACCCCAGGTTTAATACTCACGATGCGTTTAAAGGCGGCTCGGAAAAGCACATTACTGCATGTTAACAATGGATTAAACGGCTGTGATGGCGTCATGTCAACAGATCTGTTGGTGTTTTCAAATCCTGCTGCTCTGGGATCTGTGGATATCGTTTGGTTTCATAGAAAACATGTAACAGCTTAACTTACCTATTCACATAGAAGGTTTTAGTTATGCACAGCTGTAATTATGTAAAGCTGTTATATTTACACGGAAACGGCTTTAAAGTTTCTTTGAAGCTGCTGAACACAGAGACACTGAGGCTCCAGACCACAAACCAAAACTGGGATAAACGGGTTCAGTAAATGTGGCGCAGAAGGTGTAGAGATGCTTCAACCTGCCAAAGGACACGTTGTAGAAGGACAGCGTTCCTGCAGGATGGTCCAGATAAACTCCCACTCTGTGGGGGGCGCAGGGGGAGGGGATGGTTGTTTCTCTGTTCACATGCCAGGCAGCGAACCCAAACACATCGGAGCACTCCAACGTCCAGGACTGATCATTCCTTCCAAACCGGCAGTCCTCACTTTTCCCACTTCGTTTGATTCCTTTGCAGCTCACAGAGATGAGAACTGCTCCCTTCCACTCCACCTCCCAGTAGAAGCGACCAGTCAGGCCATTTCTGCACATGAGCTGCCAGCAGGTCTGGAACCTGTTTGGGTGGTCGAGGTACGGCTGCTCGTCCTCCACCTGCCGAATCTCCGTGTTGTTGTCAGAGAGGCGGAGATGTCTGTTCACCGAATTCATGTCCACTTCAAGTTCACCCCAATCTGATGGAGACGGAAAATTAGTCTCAGTAAAAATGATGTCCTAATAAAACAGTTTCCAGCTTTATATTTAATCGTTTATGAAACTTACACTTTCTCACATCAGGCTTTAGCCTGTGTTCTCCGCCTTGGTCCAAACTGCAGAGAAAACGGCAACAATAAAGTTTTAGTTTACTTGTTTCTCATGTATGTAGTAACTGTGAGGCATTGTTGATGAGGGCTCATCATTTTTCTGACTTCCTATGATAAATTGTTCGCTAATAGAGAGAATTATAACTGATATTTCAAAATCAGAAAAGTGTTTAAACTGGGGGCCTCAGAAAGTTGGAGGGGAAAAAATAAAAGAATCAAAAACCATAAAATACAAGTTAAAGTAATTTATTAAAATTTTATTCCTGATGCTCATTTTCTGATTGGCTGACAGTCGAATCCATCAAACTGCTTTGCTCCTCCAGCCAGCTTAGCTAGCGCGAAATAAATAACAATAAAATGTCATAATTTCCATCTGAGTGTAGATCTCTGCAGGTAGAGTTCATGTGTAATGACCTCAGATTAGCCAGTTTCCACTGTTTCTGCTCACAGGACAGCATTTGCTTCCCTACGACTCCTGGATGGTTGTAGCTCAGGTCCAGTTCTGTCAGGTGAGACGGGTTGGAGCTCAGGGCCGATGCCAGGTAGCCGCAACCTTTTCCTGTCACCAGACAGCCTGACAGTCTGGTGTTTGAGACACATCATGAGTTATGTTCAAGTCTACAAAGAGTCATAAAACGCACCAGGTTGGACCCACCTGAGCGTCTCCAGCGTGCAGTGCGGCGTCCCCAGCCCACTGCACAGCTGCTGCACTCCTGCGTCTCTCAGGTTGTTGCTGCTCAGGTCCAGCTCTCTCAGTTTGGACGACTGAGTGCTGAGAACTGAGGATATGTATGAACAGCATCTTTCTGAGAGTTGGCATCCACACAGTCTAGAAAAATAAAAACGTTAAACAGGATTAATGAACAGACAACTTCATGGATTTCAGTTTTTTTTTAAAGTCTTATTTTGAATGTTTTCAGTAACTAAGCTTCTCAACAACTATGCTGAACTGATTTTCTGTGTTCTGCCTTTTAAAAACAGAGTAAATCTTGAAGATATGATGCAAAAAAATATATAAACAATGGAGGGAATTAATAATTAATTTTACATTTATAATGTGACGACTGGCATGAAATTCACACCAAATGCTGGAAACAAGCTGCAGGTGTTACATTTGGAAAAATGATAAAAAGAAGAATTATTCAAGAAAACATGGAATTAGAAAGTTGTTTTATGATGAAAACGATGCAAAAGGCATGAGAAAACATATTGAAGTGGATTTAGGAAGCAGCTTTAAACTACCAGTCAAACCCAACAGGACTGGTGTCGGTACTGGATCTGTCCCAGTTTGATCAGATGAGAACCTGAAATCTGGATTCTGCTCTGAGTGAAGGTAGGAAGAAACTGAAGGGTGTGAATTTCATGTCAGTTACCCAGTTAGTTTGCTGCGTACTTGTCTGGATCTTAATAATCTCAACACAAATTGTGAATAGTTGAAGAGGTAAGTGCTGGAAGTGTTCGTAATAAAAGCAACGAACATGAGCGTCTCCATCTGACAGTGTTTGTTCTTCAGTTCAGCACAGAGCCGCTGCAGCCCCGACTCGCTCAGGTGGTTGTTGCTCATGTTCAGAGATCTGAGGCTGCAGGAGGGAGAGCTGAGCACCGAGGCCAGAGTTTCACAGCTGTGCTCTGAGAGGCTGCATGCCGTCAAGCTGCAAACACAATTTCACAGCGAGAATCATTTTATTTTAACACGTCTGCATCTGATTGGATGTACTGCTGACCTACTTTTAAAATCATCTTCCTTTATTTAAAATTTTAGTCAACTTGTTGAGGAAAAGCCATTTTGGTTTCTCTGACCTGAGCCTCTCCAGATGGCAGTACGGACTCTTCAGTCCCTCAGAAAGCTGCTTCAGGCCGACGTCCTGCAGGTTGTTGTAATTTAAATCCAGACTCTGGAGCCTCAAACTCTTTGAACTGAGACATGAGGAAAGAGTCTCACAGCTCCTCTGGGACAGGTTGCAGTCAGCCACCCTGAAGAACAAATGATTACACTGATTGTTACTGCCTAAAGCAGAAACCAGAAACATTAGCTCTGTTGACGCTAAAGTGCTACGCTAAAATGGTATTTAGAGAAAGCTAATGCTAATGCTTAAAAAATGGCAAAATGGCTGACTAAATTAGCAATTACAATTTATATGGGGAAATAATTTAGGGGAAACTAGGTGCACTAAACATTTTCAAAGTTAAAACTGCTAAATAATAAATGATCTCTGCTGTTAGCAGATTGGTGGAGGTTGACCAGCAGATGCTTCGTGCCTCAGTGATTCCAGCCCACACTGTTGATCCAACATCCCAGAAGACAACGCCGTCATTCCTGCGTCCTCCAGGTCGTTATGACTCAGGTCCACTTCTCTCAAGCAGCAAGACTGCGAACCAAGCACTGAGGACAGAGCTTCACAGGTTTTCTCAGACAGGGTGCAGTCACGTAGCCTGAAAAACATTTACATAAAACTCAAAATGACTCTGATTTGCATTGAGAGTCATTTTTGTGCAGGTCCGTCACCTACAGAGCTTTGTTGGAGGCTTTCACCACTGGCAGCAGCATCAGCAGAGCCTCCTCTGAAGCAGAGTATTTCTTCAGGTCAAACACGTCCAGACCTTTATCTGATGACAGGAGGATGAAGACCAGAGCCGACCACTGAGCCGGAGACAGTTTCCGTGTGCTAAGACTTCCTGATCTCAGGTACTGCTGGATTTCATCCACCAGGAAGCGGTCGTTCAGTTCATTCAGACAGTGGAACAGGTTGATGCTTTTCTCCGCAGACAGACCATCACTGATCTTCTTCTTGATGTATTCAGCCGTTTCCTGATTCGATTGCGAGACATTTGCGGTTTGTGTCTGCAGGCCTCGGAGCAGCGTTTGATTGGCCGGCAGTGAAAGACCTATCAGTATGCGAAGGACTAGATCAAGGTGACCATTGGGACTTTGTAAAGCTTTGTCTACAGCAGTTTGGTGAAGTTTTCTTACATTAGGCTGGTTTTTAAAGGCCTTAGACAGCCTTTGTTTTGGCTGTCTGTCGTCCAGCAGGTTGACTCCTGAGTTCACGAAGGTCAGATGGACATGAAGAGCAGCCAGAAACTCCTGGACACTCAGATGGATGAAGCAGAACAACTTATCCTGGTAAATCCCTCTCTCCTCCTTAAAGATCTGTGTGAACACGCCTGAATAAACTGAAGCCGCCTTGATATCAATGCCAGATCCTGCCAGGTCGGTTTCGTAGAAGATCAGGTTTCCTTTCTGCAGCTGATCAAAAGCCAGTTTCCTCAGAGACTTGATCATCATCTTGCTCTCTGGACTCCAGGTTAAATCTGTCTCTGCTCCCCCTTCATATTTCAGTTGCTTTACTTTGCTCTGCACCAGCAGGAAGTAGATGTATAACTCCGTCAGGGTCTTGGGCAGCTCTCTGCCTTGTCTGGTTTTCAGGACGTTTTCCAGAACGGTGGCACTGATCCAACAGAAAACCGGGATGTGGCACATGATGCGGAGGCTTTGTGACATCTTGATGTGGGAGATGACCATGCTGGCCTGCTTCTGGTCTACAAACCTCTTCCTGAAATACTCCTCCTTCTGCACGTCAGTGAACCCTTTTACATCCGTAACTATGTCAACGCAGTCAGCAGGGATCTGATTGGCCGCTGCAGGCCGTGTGGTTATCCAGAGGCGAGCGGAGGGCAGCAGCTTCCCCCTGATCAGGTTTGTCAGCAGAGCGTCCAGAGAGGTGGACTCTGTCACGTCGGTCAGGACCTCATTGTTGCTGAAGTCCAGAGGAAGTCGACACTCATCCAACCCGTCAAATATGAACACGATCTGGAAGTCGTTCAACCTGCAGATTTGTGCTTCTTTGGATTCATTAAAGAAGTGATGAACAAGTTCAACCAGACTGAACCGTTTCTCTCTAAGAACGTTGAGTTCTCTGAAAGTGAAGGGGAAAATGAACTGGATGTCCTGGTTGCTCCGGTTTTCAGCCCAGTCCAGAGCGAATTTCTGCGTCAGGACCGTTTTCCCAATCCCAGCGACTCCCTTGGTCATCACTGTTCTGATTGGTTTGTCTTTTTCAGGTGAAGCTTTAAAGATGTTTTCCTGTCTGATGGTTTTTTCTTGAACGCGCTGCTTCCTGGACGCTGCTTCGATCTGCCGGACCTCGTGCTCTTCGTTGATCTCCCGATCGCCTCCCTCTGTGATGTACAGCTCTGTGTAGATCTGGTTCAGCAGTGTTGGATTTCCTGCTTTAGCGAGTCCCTCAAACACACAGCAGAATCTTTTCCTCAAGCTGGACTTCAGCTTTTGTGTGCATTCTGTTGCACAGGTCCCTAAAAAAGTCAACGAGATTATCAGCAGAACCTCGAAATGCAATAATTAATAGTTATTTAGAATAATTTCAGATTTGGAACAGAATGGCTGTGATGTAAATGTCGGCATCATATAAAAATATAAACTGTGAAAATGTCTCACTGTTCCACAGACAGTCGGCCAGGTCGTCTTTCCTCATTCTCCTCAGGAAGTGGAGCGACAGCTTCAGAAACGCCTCCCTGCTGCCTTTGGCCTGTTCTGGGTCTGCAGTGCTGCTCTCATCTTCTTTCTCCTGATTTTCTGCAGCTTCTGAATAATCTGAGCTCAGAATCAGCTGAAACTTCTGCAGCTCATTTCTCATAAAAGTCATAAGGTTTTCCTCAAGCATCTGGAACAGACACACATTCAGTTTAATCTCAGATTATATAGAAACATGAACAAAGTTGCTGAGTTTCTTTCATTGTTTGGATCTGCCATAGCAACCAGCTGCTTTAGGGAACTTTCTCTGATAAACCTGTTGCAGACTAAATGCTGCTAAAGAAGCTAATTCAACCTTCAAATGTTGAAATAAAAATGGCAAACACAGACTCAACCATTTCTCTTTATGCCATTAATTATATGACTATCCACTGTATTGATAAAGAGAATCACTTGCTGTAACACAGAATGTGGCACCAATAAATCAATAAGGCAGAAATGTGTCTGGTAGTAATATGAGTAGTTAGACTGGTTGAGCTCTACAGCTCTAGATTGTTTTTTCTTTATCTTTTCAGTTTGTGTAATAACTGTTTGTCTTTACCTGAAACACAGAGTTCAGCTCTTTTTGATGCTGCTCTCTGGCAGATTCAGCACCAGACTCATCTGGGAAGTCTTGGCTGCCAAAGAAAGACATTTAGATTTAAACTAATATGAGATCATCCAAAAATGTAACTGATTCAAATTCAACCGTCTACCTGCTATGAAAAGTTTGACGTCTGTTTTTAAACTGTGTTGCAATCTCCATGGAGGAGTCGCTCTTCATCGACAGGCAGGGCACAGGGGAGCCTGGAGCTTTACTGTCAGCCGAAGAAATGAACAGATTGTGATGGAAACGTGACAAACAAACTGTTATTTGTTGCTGGTCTTTCAGAAAAAGCATCTTCTACTTCTGTTTTGATCTAATCTGAGACCCAGAGTAATGTTTGCTACTGTTCAGTTAAACAGAAACAAATTTACATATCTGATTGGGTCAAAACTCTTTTTTCAAAGACTTTGTTCTTCCAAATCCTTTGGTCATTCACAGGATTTTGGACTTTTATTCAATGATGTTTTGTCATCGGAATAAAAGAAACGACTTTCCAGTCGTTTCCCGTTGGACAGGCTGTCCTTCCTAATCCAGGTTTAATCCTGGCTCTCCAGCTCTTCTTCCCTTAACTGACAATAATTCAGTTCAGTTTATTTATTTATCCCAACTTGTCTAAGGAGCTGCTTCCATTTATTCACAGACAGTAAAACCTGATTAAAGCCAAACTGTGCTGATTTACAGAGCATCATTTATTCCCTCTTGTTGTTGCAGTAATAGTTTGTATTAGTTCCCTCACTGAGGCAACAGCCAAATCATCGAAAACTCAAACTACATCCATGGCATCTGAAACTATTCCACAAACATGTTTATTTCTTGTAAAATAGCCAGAAACTGCTTCTTATTATAAATATCAACAAATATTGATCATTTTCTTGAAGCCTGACAATGTGAACCTATGAGGTTCATGAAACGCTTTAACAGACCTACCGGGTTTCTGTAGAAGGTGCTGGTTTGAAATCCAGTGGTATGTTGAGAAATTTGTCTCTTTTCAAAGACACTCCAGGAGGTTGGAGTCTCGGTTCTGGTCCAGTTCCAGAGCATTCGCTTTCGTGTTCCTGCTCAGAGCTTTAAAACAACAAACTGGTCACTGTCGGTTTGCTTAACGCTGGGAATGAGTCACAGGAAGTTACAGAATAAAACTTTACTTACTGCGTCTTATGAGGCGAGTTACTAAAATCCATATCAAAGTCTTTGGAGCGTTTATTCCTCAGTGGCTTCCAGGTTGGTTCAGATCTACTGGATCCAAATGAGTCACAAAGCGGAGAGTTGAAATGCAGCGTCAGAAAAATGAGCAGGCAGTCAGAGATTATAATCTCACCTCTGAGCTTCACCCTGAGGCTCATCTTCCACCCCGAGCGTTTTTGGTGGCGCACTCATTTCTCACCTTGTCACAAAGAATAACATGCTGAGTCATCACTTACTGGAAAATTATTCCCTTCAATATGCCACACATACAGTATTTTTGGTCAGAATATGTTTCATTAACCATTTAATTTGAATTGGTAAAATAGATTAGGGAGGCAAAATGAGCCATTTGAGGATCCATTAGGCTTTAAATGCTTTGAGGAACAGACTGTCAGTGAATATTTAACACTCATCTTAAAGTTGTCTGGGTAGTTTTGACACTTTCTGCATTTTTTCACTGATTACCGTCACAGTGTTGATATTATATAAGAACGACACACAGATGTATGTTCAATACTTTGATTATTGGGCTTTACCAAAAAAACACTTTTGTGCAGCATTCACATTTACAAACACACCAAAACCCAGCTTGAAGCTACAATGAGAACCAGTTAACAGATTTACAGATCTGACCTGCTGATCTAACTTTCAGTAGAAATTCCTCGGCTGTCCATCGTCCGGAGAGTCGGCGCTGATTACTCCTCGTCAGGCCAGATGACTGCGAGCGTTTGGCTCGTCGATGCGCTCTCAGCCTCTTAACCGCAGCGTTAATGATGAAAACTCATCAGACATGAAACCAGTCTGTCCTGTCATGAAGCAAGGAGGAGCTTTTGGGAAAATATTTACAGTTCCTGTTTGTTCCCCTGAAGAAACGCCATCCTGTAGTCACATGTTGGCCTGCTGCCATCAGAGTGCAGGAAAAAGTGAAAGATGCAGGTTTTTATTACAGTAGTGCAGAAAAGAAACATTTTGCCATCACAGTCGTCGTTTTTGACGCTGTGACCTGAGATTTGGTCACTGCATGTATCAGCTTCTCACATTGTTTCCATATATTTGGATGTTTTAGTAAAATACACAGTTTAAGAAAATCCTGAAAAGGTCATTCAAACAAGAACATAAAGCTGGGAAGTTATATTTTTAATTCATCAGTGTTTTTCTCCATGAATATATATTTTATTATTGAGATACATTACAAAATATAATCTAAGAAATCCATCAAATATGTAAAAACAAAACAAAATGTGATTATGTGAAATTTTTAATGCCTAAAATTTATTTAAATTTCAGCCCTAAAATAAACTTTTCAGGAATGTTTTAAATATTGAATATTACAGTATTTTGTATTATTTGTTGATTCAAAACATCCAAATCAATTTTATTTTCAAAGCACATTTTTAAAACATCTGTTGAAACAAAGTTACTTTGGTATTAAAACAGATCCACACAAATAATGGTAATAAAAGATTAAAATAAAAATCATCACACTACATGTCAATAGACACCAACACAAAAAGTGTTTTAATGGAAACTTTCCAACAGCAAATTAGAAAACCAGTTTAATATTCATTTACAACTTTGGCCAATTTCAGAGATTAAATCATAGATTAACAAAGACAATAAAACATTTAAAACATAAGAAGAATGACACATTGTTCAAAAATAACGTAAAACAATCAGAAAAAAACGTTATGAATGTTTATTCACTACTGCAAATATTCTCATTGCTCTTCCTGCCTCTAGTTTCATCACAATATTAATATTATTTATGCTGCTTTACATGATGGTGACACTGAAAGTGGATTTTCCTTACAGGGAACACAGAGTCGCTGAGGAATCGTACCAGAACCCAAAGCCAGGGTACAGCGGCTCCGTGAACGTGGCGTTGAAGGTGTGAACGTGCATCAGGGTGTCAGCAGACACTCGATAGTAAGACAGAGTCCCAGCAGGACAGTCCAGATACACCGCTATCCTGTGGGAGAGGCAGGACTGTGGCAGGGGGACGATGGCCATGTTGTTCTTATGACAGATGGCGTAACCAACGTCGTCACAGCACCTCAGACCCCACGACAGCTCGTTCCCACCAAACCAGCATTCGCTGCTCAGGCCCCTCCGGGTGAGTCGCCTGTAGCTCACTGACACCAGAACCCTCCCACTCCACTCCACCTCCCAGTAACAGCGACCAGTCAGGCCATTTTTGCACAGAAGTTGGTTCCATTCGAATCTGTCCGGGTGATCAGGGTACGGCTGCTCTTGGTTTACGATTTTTGCACTCTTGTTGTTGTCAGACAGAACCAGCTTTCGGCCAGCTGTGTTTGGATCCAGTTCAAGTTCACAGAAATCTGAGGAGAGAAAACGGGCGTGGGTCACCATTATGTTATCTACTTAGAAAAGTGCTGAGTCATGTTTCTGTTGGGATTAAATAATGTCCAAAGTTAGAGTTCAGACAGAATCGAAGCTACAGAAAGCAAAATAAAAGAATCTTTACTGATGGGAAAAAACAGATAACTGTGAGAATGACGAGGCAAACTTGAGTTTGCAAATAAGGGATTATAAATGTACTTGAGGCAGAAGGAAGTGCAGCTCAACAAGCAGGTTTTACTGGAATGATGGAGGAATGTGGACAAGGAAACAAACCCAGGCGACAGATGAACAGATTAGTAGAGGAGGAGCTGAGAAACGCCAACAAGCCATTGCAAAACTATTAAATAAATAAAGTTTATAAAATGTCTTTGAAATGTCCCTAAAAACGCATGTGGAAAGTTTTTCTTCTTCGTTTTTATTGAAACTTACACTTCTTCAGTCCAGGCGTGAGCCACTGCTTTCCACAGCAGTCCACTCTGCAGGAAGACAAACAGGAGTGAATTAAAATGTCTGAACATGTTACTAAGACGTTTCCACATTCAGAGATTATATGACCAGCAGTTTTCCACTCTGATTGGTCGGTGCAGCGACCTGCAGGACATGTTGGAGAACTTCATGTGTCTCTGAACAGCAGCTGCAGCATCACCAACAAACAGGCCGTACTGGAATATTTTTAATTACTAAAATAAGTTGAGTTTTTTTTATCTAATTTTTATTGAGATTCAACTGTACATCTACCTACTGGGACAAAGATTGAACTGGACCTGCTTCTCTTCCAGGAAACTCCAGGTCAGGTCTGACTGGGGTTTGAAAGTCATTCTGTCTCCCAAGCATTTATTTAAAATCCTTCAGCTTCACCATTAGGGAAAGACAGGCTAGATTCAATTGATTATTATTCTAATAATCTGCGCTGCTACATTAAGATGTGGTATAATTACATGGTTCATAAGTTTACAGGAGATCTATAAAGGTAACCTTAAGCTGCGGCTCCATACGAGTCAGTAAATGATTCCTGGCTCAGTCAGGAGTGAAAACAGAGGGAGAAGAACCAATAATGGGTCCAATCTGTGAATCCTACTGGCCTGCTGGGCTTCTCAGTCTGACTAACTGATGGAAGGAAATAGTTTGGGACATTCAGGTTGGCCAGTGACTTTTCCTCAGTAAACCAGCTACATCGATCGATTTCCTACAGATCCTGATCAGGGTCAAACTCAGCAGGTTGTGTTGACATGTCAAAGTGAGGAGTTAGTTCAGTCAACAAAGACGGGGAGAAATGAAGTTTCAGACCTGAGTGTTTCCAGTTTGCAGTGTGGATCTTTCAACCTAGAAGACAGAAGCATCACTCCTGAGTCTCCAGGATGATTGTAACTGAGGTCCAGGACTTCCAGGTGGGACGGGTTGGAGGCGAGAGCTTTGGCAAGAGAAGCACAGCCTTCCTCCGTGATTAGACATCCTGTAAGACTAAAAATGGGATGGGGGGTTTGAAAACTTTACAAGCTTGGTTCGACCAAAGATTGGAAACAAGTGTAACCAGTTGAAACACCAGCATGTTCTGACCTGAGGGATTCCAGTTTGCAGTTTGGACTCTCCAGTCCCACTGAAAGCAGTTTCACTCCTACGTCCTCCAGCTTGTTGTTGCTCAGGTCCAGTTCTCTCAGACTGGAAGACTGGCAGCTTAAAACCGAAGACAAAGCTTCACAGCTTCTCCCAGAGAGGTTACAGCCGCTCAGTCTGGGGTTCAGGAGAAACAAAGAACAGAAAACTGAAGGCTGTTTGAAATGTGAGAGACTAAATGTATGAAATCCTTTGTGCACCTACAGAGCTCTGTTGGAGGCTTTGACCACTGGAAGCAGCCTCAGCAGGGCTTCTTCTGAGGCAGAGTACTTCTTCAGGTCAAACACGTCCAAGTCTTCGTCTGATGACAGTAAGATGAAGACCAGAGCCGACCACAGAGCCGGAGACTGTTTGTCTGTGGACAGACTTCCTGATTTCAGGTACTGTTGGATCTCCTCTACCAGAGAGCGGTCGCTCAGTTCATTCAGACAGTGGAACAGGTTGATGCTTTTCTCTACAGACACATCATCGCTGATCATCTTCTTGATGTACTGGATTGTTTCTTGGTTGCTTTGTGAGCTGCTTTGTGTTTGTGTGTGTAGGCCTCGTAGCAGCGCTTGATTCACAGGCTGAGAAAGTCCAACCAGAAAGCGGAGGAACATGTCCCAGTGTCCGTTTGGACTCTGTAAGGCCTTGTCAACAGCGAGCTGATGAAGCTGGACTGCTGTAGAATCTAGTTCTCCTGTTTGTGGTGTGTTTTGTGCTGCCATCAGCAGGTTGGTTCCAGAGTTGATGAAGGTCAGATGAACATGAAGAGCAGCCAGAAACTCCTGAACACTCAGATGGACGAAGCAGAACACCTTGTCCTGGTACAGCCCTCTCTCCTCTCTAAAGATCTGTGTGAACACTCCTGAGTACACTGAGGCTGCTCTGATATCGATGCCACACTCTGTCAGGTCTGATCCATAGAAGATCAGGTTTCCTTTCTGCAGCTGATCAAAAGCCAGTTTTCCCAGAGACTCGATCATCTTCCTGCTCTCTGGACTCCAGTGTGGATCTGTTTCCATCCCTTTATCATATTTAACTTTCTTCACTTTGGTCTGAACAACTAAAAAGTGGATGTACATCTCTGTCAGGGTCTTTGGCAGCTGCCCCTCTTCCCTGGTTTTCAGCACATCCTCCAGGACTGTGGCAGTGATCCAGCAGAAGATCGGGATGTGGCACATGATGTGGAGGCTTCGTGACGATTTGATGTGGGAGATGATCCTGCTGGCCTGCTTCTGGTCTACAAACCTCTTCCTAAAGTACTCCTCCTTTTTGGAATCTGAAAACCCTCTGACTGCTGTCACCAGATCCACACACTGAGCAGGGATCTGATTGGCCGCTGAAGGTCGTGTGGTTATCCAGAGGCGAGCGGAGGGCAGCAGCTTCCCCCTGATCAGGTTTGTCAGCAGGACGTCCACTGAGCTGGACTCTGTAACGTCGGTCAGGATCGGACTGCTGGTGAAGTCCAGTGGAAGTCGACTCTCATCCAAGCCATCAAAAATGAACAATACACTAAATTGTTCAAAACTGCAGATTTCTTTGCTTTCTGGAAAGAAGCGGTGAACGAGTTCCACCAAACTGAATCTCTCCTCTTTCAGCACATTCAGCTCTCTGAAGGAAAATGGAAAAGTAAAATGAATTTCCTGATGTGATTTGTCTTCGGCCCAATCCAAAGTGAACTTCTGCGTTAGGATGGTTTTCCCAATGCCAGCAACTCCTTTAGTGAGCATTGTTCTGATTGGCTGAGCTTTGTCATTATGAACCTTAAAGATGTCTTCTATTCTGACAGTTTCAGGACTGCCTTGTTTCCTGGAGGTCATTTCAATCTGCCTGACCTCGTGCTCCTCATTAACATCTCCGGTTCCTCCCTCTGTCATGTAAAGCTCTGTGTAGATCTGGTTCAGCGGAGCTGAGCTTCCGCTTTTAGCAATCCCTTCAAACACATGCTGGACACTCTTCCTCAGGTTAGTCTTGTGTCTTTGCTGATACTTCGTTGAAGAGGCCCCTGTACAAAGAAAAGAAATCTGACGTTTTTTATCATGTAAAATATGACATTTTTCATGTTATATACCTGGAACAACTGGAGTACTCCAGCATTTTAAAGTTTTATATGATTTAATGCAAACAACAACTCCTAGAGCATTAATACAGGAAACTTCTCAATGTTGGCCTAATGAGGTGCTGGTTTACAGCTGTGGGCACGCTACCGCTAATGTGCTAGTAGAAGAGCACATTCTTTAGCATTTTGATGACTTTAAAAATGTTTAGCACATTTTAAAGCTTGCCATAAATTAATGTTTAAGCATAAATTCAAAAGCACTAATTTAGTTGGTTGTTTTGTAAACTTTAAGTTTTAAAAGTTGAAGTAATCTTACTGCTGTGCAGATAATCAGCCAGCCTCTTTTGCTTCATCCTCCTCAGAAAGTCGAGTGTGAGATTCAGAAATGACTCTCCGCTGGTATTTTCCTCCTCTTCCTCACCTCCACCCAACACCTCTTCGTTCTCTCTCTGGTTCTTTAAGTGTTCATGATAATCTGGTCCAACAATGTTGAGGAATTTCTTTAGCTCTGACTTCACAAAAACTACCATGCTTTCCTCCAGAGCCTGAAACAAAAAGGAAAAAATAAATATATTTATGTTGAGGGTGACTGCACTTAACTGTGATCATTGCAACCATCATTAAATGCTCAAATTCCCAGAGGAGCCTTGTAATTTAACAATCAAGTGTTTGATCTAAAATGGTTCTTGCCTTAAATATGGAGTCCAGATCAGTTTGATGATGAACAGACTGAACACTGAGAGCCGCTGAGTCCTGCAGCTCATCACTGCAGAAATGACACATTTTAGCAAAAGTTATTTCGGTATTTACTTTGTATTGGCATCATCAAAATACCCAAATCCCTCAGCACAAGTTTAACTGTTTCATTATGAATTTCTGAAGAAAAGTAGTTATGATGATCTTTACTTAAACATTTGTTTTAAATTATGTTTTTTTTAAAGTAAACAGTTGATAGTTTGTATTCCCACCTGTTCTGAACAGGCTGGTGTCCTTCTTTAAAGACAGTTATTGGATCCATGGACCGGTCACTCTTCATGGATAAACAGCTGGATGAGGGTATGGCTGCTGTCTGCTACTGGATCCTGGTAGAAACAAAACAACCAGAAGTTTACTGACAGTAAAAGCATTTCCAAGGAAAATCTAATGTGTTTTCCAAGGAAAGCACATCTAGATTGTTTTCCAAGACACAACCTAGAGTCTTGTGTCCAGACACACATTCATGTCCAGAGACAGACTGAATGAAGTTTACACTCACACTTTATGTGTGAAAACTGCTACAAACAGATGGAGAGCAGAGCAACCATACATCTTTGACCCAGAATCGGAAAAAGTGGAGCCTGAATGGTAAATCAAAATTAAAACTCTTTGTCTTTTCCAGCAGCCATTGTACAGCACATACAGTGCTAAAACCATCTGACCAAACATGCTGGAACTTCACTTGGGTTGGTAGGTGATTGTGGCATCACAAAACATTTATCATCACCTGTCCAGAAACACCTGGACAGGTTTTTCAGTTTGTCCCGTTTCTAGAAGCAGTAGAGACCCTCTGATGAATACAGTGTTAGTTTGTTCATTATTTATATTCTCACTCTTTGTGCTCAGGCAGGTCTCCATCTCTGAAAACAGTTATTGGATCCATGGACCGGTCGCTCTTCATGGATAAACAGCTGGATGAGGGTACGGCTGCTGTCTGGATCCTGGTAGAAATAAAACAACCAGAAGTTTACTGACAGTAAAAGCATTTCCAAGGAAAACCTAGAAGTGGCCACAACTATCGAGCATGCAGCAGTGGTTTCTGAATGGAAATTCAAAAATAAAACTCTTTGTCTTTTCCAGCAGCCACAATGCATCTTAATTTAAGAAAATCAGTATAAAATAATTAGATTCTCACCCTTTGTGTTCAGTCTGGTTTCTGTCCCTGAACACGGTGATTGGATCCATTGAACGGTCGCTCTTCATGGACACGGCGCTGGTTGGGGACAGAACCGGACCCTGGTCGTTTCTGATGGTTTAAACAGAAACAATTTGGACTAATTTAAATAATGAACTGAGCTTAATGCACAGGTTGACAACTAGGATCAACAGGAACATATGAGTGATTAAATTAAAATGACCTTTTTTACATAAAGTGCCTTGAGACGGCTGAATTGAATTGGATGCAATGGACCAGTTATTCATTGTAGATCCAAGTCAACCTAACTGGATTCAGTTCAGTCAGATTATTAAATAATTGTCAAATTTGGTAGATTTTTTTGTTTGACTCAGTTGAATTTCCCTCATAAAGAATGTTTATACTTAATTCTTTGTTTAAATCTTTATTTTTATGCTTAGGATCAAAATGTTATTGGACTTTCTGATGATTATTTGGTTATATTTGATAAAATAAGTTTATCTAAGAAAATTCAGCTGAAACAGTGGAAAAGAACCGTTCTCCTCAGAGTCCTGACAGCAGTTTGGATAAGATTAGTTTAATCAACTATTCTCATTTTATTATGTAAATATCTACTTTCAGTGATTCTTCACCCTTTATTCTGCGGCTGCAGTGGTTCTCTGAACACGGTGATGGGATCCATTGAGCGGTCGCTCTTCATGGACACGGCGCTGGTTGGGGACAGGACTGGTGTCTGCAGGTCGATGCTGATGGAAACAAAACAGTACGAGTGATTCACAGAGATATTTCTATCAGCAGAAAGCAGCTCTGAAATGTTAAAAATAACAGATTTTACCAACTGTTTTCAATCATTTAGGCTGAAAACATGAGCAACACATACTGACGCTTCCATCGGAGCATTTAACTGGTCTGGATATTTCTACTGAATAAAACAAGTTAATATAGATACAGTTTTTATTTTTACTAACTAGGTATTATAAATTATGTTTTTCACAGTAGAATAAAATCAAGCAAAAGTAGTGTCTTTATTTGATGTTATTCATTGTTGATCCAAAAATTTAAAAAAGATTTTGCTTGTTTGCTGTTTTTAAAAAAAGGCATCAAATTTTTAAAGTTTTTTGGCTCGACTGAACAAATGTATGTAGGATTTAGATCACTTTATTACAAGGTGGTTGCTATATTTAGCCAAGTTTAATACATTTGACTAAAGCTGATTTGGTTGCAGTAAAGTCAGTAAATGTTGTTCTATGCTAAATCAGTCTAAGGGCCACAAATGGCCCCCGAGCCGCGCTTTGGACACCCCTGGTATGGAGCCAGAAGTGGCAGTCAGCCAAAACACTAAATAAATAAATGATTCAGAAAGAGAAAAGTTAACACAGGAAGTTAAGGTTTGCAGTGATGATGCAGGATTTCAGAGGAAGAGGCGTTCAGGATATAAACTAAGAACTGCAACGCCTCAACCTTATAATCCCACTAACTGGGATTAAAGTGTTTGCAGTAAATATGATACCAGTTTGAGACGTTTTCTTTTAGCTTGATGATGAAGTAAAGCTATTAACTGCTTCACTGTGTGAATAGTTTCATTTATTCTACTTTTTTAAACTTCTATTTTTGACCACTTCCATTTTACTGTCAACAAGGTTAAAGAAATGCACCTAAATATCTGTTTGGCTCCCAAAGCTCAGTGTGCTGCAGATTATCAGAGCGAAGGACTGAAGTTTGACCTCTAAAAATAAAAACCTTTATTTTCACTTCAAAGTCAAGAAAATCTGGTTCAGCTGGGATTGCTTCTGCAGGATGTGTTGTTTGGTCAATTATCTTTAATGTATCACATTTTATTGTATTTTTAAACAGAGTTTAAGTAAAGTGCTGCAATTTCCTATAAATACTTAATGTTAGATGGTTTGCCCCCACTGAGTTTAACAGTAGCCCTTTTGATTTGTGTCTTTACTAAAAATGTTCAACCAAACATCCGACAATGAAACTTTTTAACTAAATACGTTCCAACTTTTGGATTTTGACATTTTAGTCTGTAAATACTCTCTACGACTCTGTTTCCTTCAGATGACCAAATAAATTAATGTTCCTATAAACATTCAGCTAATCTGGCTCACTGTAGCTCATTAGCTGCATAACTTCATGCAGAACTCAAGCAACCAAGGTGAAGAAGAAAAGTAGACGTTACTTTGTATTTATATTATATATTAGGCAGTGTATTTGTTACCCTTTCATTAAGGGACCTATAACTTTTTAAATCCATTTACCTCCTTAAAGAATACACTAATACTCAGGAGAGAGGTCCAGAGCTCGTTTTCTAATGCAGTTCATCTTGATGAAGAGAAAGTTTCATTCAAAAACAGAATGAACCACAGATTGAAAACTGAATCAGCACCAGATTCTTACGTTTTTCCACCGTTGAGGTCGGATTCGTCAAATAAACGGGTTTTCTTCAATCGATCTCTCTTATTGGTGTCATGTTTCAGTGGTCGGAGCCTGAAACAGAAGAATCATTATTATTAGTTAATTAAAACTATGACTTCACTACATAACTTCACGAATGTGACATAAAAATAGAAAAGTATCACCTTGCGTCAGCAGAGGGTTCAAATAATAGTCGAAGACGGTTGACTGACACCTGACTGAGTTCAGAACTGTGAAGTGGGGAAAATGATGTTTGTTTAAATCTTTAATTTCATGCTTAGAATCAAAATGTTATTGACTTTCTGATGATTCTTCGGTTATATTTGATAAAATAAGTTTATCTAAGGACGTTTAGCTGAAAAACATAAACGTCTTACCTGTTGGTCTGGCTCTCACGTTTCCCACACAGATCCATAGCAGAGTTCAGACCTTTACAGAAACACAGCAGCAGGATCAGTCAGCGATCACAACTTCCTTAAAGAGAACCGCCGTACACACTGATCCAGAACCTGCTGAATCCACCACAAACATAATATTTTGATCTGTCCAAAGCAACTAACTGCTCCACGCTTACATTATGAACCTGTTTCAACACCCAAGAAAAGCTACTGGAAGCTTCTCTTCTGTAACCTGCACAAGTGAAAATATGCAGACGCCTAAAGGCTTTACTGTTCCAGCGTTTCAAAATAAACTCATAATCTAGTCTATCTGCTCCTGTCAGAGCTGGTTCAGCATTTCCTGCAATTTTTACAGATGAGTCAGATATGACTCTAAACTGCTCCGGTTTAGAAGTTCAAAACATGTAAATGATGCCATAATTATTAGGATTTTACATTTTAGAGCTCTAATAAATCAGGTCAGATAGTGACCGATATTAAATTACTTACTTTTTTCCAACTTCCAGGTAAAACCACTGAATCAGAGCAAGCAGCTCATTGTCCCTCGTTAGTAGAAACTGGGGATTTTATCTCGTTCTCATATCATAAAAGATGCCGAACCAGTCGGACCTGCGGCTGGGAGCCTGGTGTAATCCTAATACAGGAACAGGAGATGGAGCCTCCTGAGAATCAGGTCACTTCAGCTGCTGCTAAGGTACTTTTACAAAAGCTCACACTCCAACTTCTCCACATTTTGTTGCATCACAGCTACAGATTTCAACCTATTTGTGGGAGATTTTACAATGTGAGGCATAATTGAAAGGTGAACAGAAAATTGTATGTGGCGTGAAACTATTCAATCCACTGAGAAAATACTTTACGGTTTGCTAAACTTACAGCTACGTAGAAACTATTTCTAGCTCAGGTAGAACATCTTTTTATTTGTTTTAAAGTCGAGATAAACGTGATGAAAGTCGAGTCAATTAGTCATTGTGACGTCACAGAATCACAGCAGAGAAGGTTTCACAGAAATTTCGTCTTTATTTTCTGTATTCACAGCAAATGACAAGAGATGGCTTAGACAGAAGTCTGTTATGCAGAATAAAAAGGAAAAGAAAAATAACATTAACTTCTTTAGCAGCGGAGCAGAGCGGTGATCTTATGTCACTGTGGTCCAAAAGTTTCCATTAGGAAACATGAAAACTATTTTAAAGATTATATCTGAAGTCAAAGCAGGCTAAAAGGTTCTGGATCAATGCATTGAATTATCAAAATAATATTTAGTATTTCTAAGATTAATTCATCTATTATTCCATCTGTCCATCCAACCATCATCGTGTTTTTTTCTGAGATCAGATTGTTGAGGTTCAGGAAAGAAACCAGTATCCCTGTATCCAGTAACTCCAGGTGTTCCCTGACCAAAAGAGGAACTTGGTTCCTCTAGAGTTCTGGATCTACTGCAGGGTTTCCTCAGTCGGACCCAGAGTCGGATCACCTTCAGAGTGGAGCATCCAGGAGGCATCCTAGTCGGGTGTCACATTCTGCACATTTATCTGGTTTTACGCTGTGTTCAAGTCAACATGACTGCTTCTACTATGATGATGAATCTTTACATACATGAACATAATCTAGAAATGATTCATATCACAGGTTTTAGGAGAACACTTCCAAATACGTCTTCCTTCGAACACAGAAACAATGAGGAGTCATTGGACCAGAACCCAAAACCAGGATACAGAGGTTCAGTGAATGTGGTGTTGAAGGTGTGGAGGTGGGTCAGCGTTTCGGCATCTACTCTGTAGAAGGACAGGAGGCCAGCAGGATAGTCCACATACACTGCTACTCTGTGAGAGACATGAGAGATGATGGGCATTCTGATCTTATTGTTCCAGATATAGTAGCCGGCATCAGAGCAGCTCAAACTCCAGGACTGATTGTTCCTTCCAAACCTGAAGTCCTCACTTTCGCCCTTCCTTTTAATTCCTCTATAACTCACTGATACACGAACTTCTCCCAACCATTCCACCTCCCAGTAACAACGCCCAGTCACACCATTTGTACACAGCATCTGCCAGTTGTCAAATCTGTCTGGATGATCCGGGTACGGCTGCTCCTCCTTCACCAAAGTCACGAATTTGTTTTTGACCAACAGTTTGATGTTTCTGTTTATGGAGTTCATGTCCAGTTGCAGATCAGAGAAGTCTGGTGAAAGAACAAACATGGAGGTTATCCTCTGACAGGTCAGATGGCTCAGTAACAAAATGGTTTATTACAATAGAGTGGACTAGAAATGTGAATACATTAATAAAAATAGCTGTATACGGAATATTAACCCTCCTGTGGTCTTAAGGTTGGGTTCCATTGGACCCCATAAGCTTTTTACACTGTGCGCAGTCCGGCATGGTCATATTGACCCTATGTGCGCTTTTGTGTGGTTTCAGGGACTGATGATCTGATGGGACACCCCCCTCCTCATTTCCCGCTGTCTGACCATGGCATCTTGTGCTCAGTCTGGGGGAGGGTTCATGGACAGACTTGCATTTTGGTGTTTTGTACAAATTACACTTACATTTTCTCAAGCCAGGTTTCATCCATTGCTCTCCAGCAGGGTCCAGTCTGCAGGAAGAAAACAATGTTTTAAGTGACAACATATTACTTCCTCATCTATTTACTTTCTTAATTTTGTTAGTTTAAACTTTTGTAACCAATTATTTAAAAGCTAGCAAATGAAAAAATGTTGGCTTTATTTTGTTCTGTAATGATGTTGATCATTATATACTTATAGTGGTACATATTAAAACAGCAGTGTTCAAAATATATTTAGTTTTGTTTTATGCAACTTGTGACATTTCTTATAATTCAAACATTACACAAATAACATTTAAATATAAAAAACATATTTTCAATGATGACTTCCTTTATTAAATATGCAATTGGTAACTTTAGAACTGTGTTGTTTTTTTACATATTTGTTAAAATTGTCACTGTGTTCTGACAGTATGATCAGAGACACAATATCTGTGAAAAACATGAAGCTTCTCTTCTTCCTCCCTGTGGTCCTACTGCCATCTGCAGAAATACGCCACTGGGTAAGAAAACCAATCAGAGGCCAGGACAGTGTAAATCACACTCATGTATGTTACTTGTTTGCCATTTCCTGTTCTCAGCATACTTGAATATTGTGTTTTGTTTGCATAACATTATAATATAGAGCAAGTTGAACTGTCCTCTCAGAAATTTGCTATACTGATAAACTTGACTTCATGATTTTTTTCTGTTTGGGGAAAAAAATAATAAATATGTTCTGTAAACTGAAATTGATAAATTAAATCTCCATGCAGTAGACTTTTATTTTCAGCCCATACTTGAGATCTTGCAGCTTGGAGTTTGGATCGTGGCATGCAGCACGAAGCCGCTGCATCCCCAGATCTCCTGGATGATTGTAGGTCAGGTCAAGTTTCTTCAGATGAGAAGGGTTAGAAACCAGAGCATCTGCAAGAGAGATGCAGCCTTCTTCTGCAATCATGCAACCTGACAGACTACAAAGAAAGAATTATACTCATTAAGAAAGAAAAAAAAGGAATTTATCTTTTTTTTATCACAGAAATTTGAATTCAGACCTGAGTGTTTCGAGTTTACAGTTTGGACTTTGCAGTCCAGCAGACAGGCTCATCACTCCCGAGTCCTGCAGGTCGTTGTTACTCAGGTCAAGTTCTACTAGGCTGGAGGATTCAGAGCCCAGAAATGAAGAAAGGGCTTTACAGCTCTGATCGGACAGGTTGCACTCACAGAGCCTGGGGGAGGAAGCAAGCATGAAACAGCACATCCTTTTGGTCTTCATGTAGAGACTATACTCATAAAACCTCTGAACAATTCAGAAATCCACTTACAGCACTTTTTTGGATGCTTTGACTACTGGCAGAAGCCACATAAGAGCCTCCTCTGAAGCAAAGTATTTCTTCAGGTCAAAAATGTCCAGATCTTCTTCTGATGACAGTAAGACAAAGACCAGCGCAGACCACTGCTGAGGAGACAGCAAGAGTTTTCCTGCACAAACTTGTCCTGAGCTCAGATATTGTTGAATCTCGTTCACAAGAGAACAATCATTGAGTTCCCTCAGACAGTAGAACAGATTGATGCTTTTCTCTGCTGAGGTATTCTCACTGATTTTTTTCTTAATGTATTTGATTGTTTCATCGTTTGCCTGTGAATCACTTCTTGGTTTTGGTAGCAAGCCTTTCAGGTTTGTCTCATTAGTCTGCAGTGAGAGACCCAGAAGGAAGCGTAGGAACAGGTCCATGTGCCCATTTGGACTCTTCAGGGCCTTGTCTACAGCACCTTTGTGGAAGGAGGCCAGATCAGGCATATTTGTAAAGAAACAGAGCCACTGAGTTTCGTTTTCTTCGTTAAGAAGATCCACTCCTGATTTTTTGAAGCTCAGATGGACATACAGGGCAGCCAGAAACTCCTGAACACTCAGGTGGACAAAGCAGAACATGTTGTCCTGGTACAGCCCTCTATTCTCTCTGAAGATCTGGGTCAGAACTCCAGAGTACGCTGAGGCTGCTCTGATATCGATGCCACACTCTGTCAGGTCTGATTCATAGAAGATCAGGTTTCCTTTCTGCAGCTGATCAAAGGCCAGTTTTCCCAGAGACTCGATCATCTGACTGCTTTCTGCGTCCCACTGTGAATCTGTCTCAGCTCTTCTATCATATTTGACTTTTTTCACTTTCATCTGGACCACCAGATACTGGATGTACATCTCTGTCAGGGTCGTTGGCAGTTCGGCCTCCTCTCCATTCTGCAACACAAAGTCCAGAACTGAGGCGATGATCCAGCAGAAGTTTGGGATGTGGCACATGATGTGGAGGCTTCGGGATGCCTTGATGTGGGAGATGATCCTGCTGGCCTGCTCTTTGTCAGCGAATCTCTTCCTGAAGTACTCCTCCTTCTGTGGGTCAGTGAACCCTCTGACCTCTGTCACCAGATCAACACAGTCAGCTGGGATCTGATTGGCCGCTGCAGGTCGTGTGGTTATCCAGAGGAGAGAGGAGGGCAGCAGCTTCCCCCTGATCAGGTTTGTCAGCAGAGCGTCCACTGAGCTGGACTCTGTAGCATCAGTCAGGATCGGACTGTTCTGAAAGTCCAGAGGAAGTCGACTCTCATCCAAGCCATCAAGTATGAACAGAACCTGGAAATCCTCAAAACTGTGGATTCCTGCTTCTTTGACTTCAGTGAAAAAGTGATGAATTAGTTCCACCAAGCTGAACTTTTTATCTTTTACCAGATTCAGCTCTTTGAAACTGAATGGAAGTGTTAGCTGGATGTCCTGGTTGGCTTTACCTTCAGCCCAGTCCAGAGTGAACTTCTGTATTAAGACTGTCTTCCCAATGCCAGCCACTCCCTTCGTCATCACCGTCCTGATGGCTTCCTTTCCTCCAGAAGAAGTTTTAAAAATGTCCTCCTGCCTGATTTTTATGTCTGGTCTCCCTCTTTTTATTGATGCTCTCTCAATCTGTCTGACTTCATGTTCCTGATTGACCTGTCCAGTCTCTCCCACTATGATGTACAGGTCTGTGTAGATCTGATTTAGAGAACTTTTATTTCCTGGGTTTTCAATTCCCTGGAACAGATACTGGGCTTTTCTTCTAAGGTTGGATTTGAGTTTATACTGGCACATGGCTTGAATTGTTCCTGAAACAAAAAATTACATCCTTTTAACTTATGTTGCTTTTTTGTTCACAAAACAAATCAAGCATAAAGATGTTTGTAGGGTCAATAGTTTTTAAAGAGCCATCTTTTTAAGCTAACATTCTTGTACCTTTGTGCAGATGTTCAGCCAGATCATCTTTGTTTATTTTTCTTAAAAAGTCCACTGTAATCTTTAGAAATGACTCTCTGCTGCATTTCTGCTCTTCATCTTCACAGTCAAACACATTTTCAAATTCTTTCCTAGTTTCAAGGTCTTCAGAGAGCTGCAGCATGAGGATCTTCTGGTACTTCATCAGCTGCTCTTTAGCAAAATTAAAAATATGTTTCTCCAGCACCTCAAAGATGGAGTTCAGTTCTGTTAGTTGCTGTGAAGACCTGCCAGGCTTCGTTTGTCTGCAGAGAAATGAAGGACACATTATACAAACTTTTTATATTCATCACTGCATCCTCATTTCAGATCCACTTTATTCTTTTCAGATTTGTCTTCCAGCCAGTCAGATATCCAAGCTGCAATAAACTCGTCATCCATTCATTTGTACATTTTATTTTGTTTCAAGTTTAAATTACCAGTTAACTTATATATCACATATTTGGACAAAGCATTAAAAGGAGTCAGGAGAGAAGAGTTATTTTATACTCAAAGACAAGCACAGCTGAGATTACAGCACAAACTATTTACCATCTTGAAGTGGAATCTGAACACACAACTGTTGTGACGTCTCTCCTTTTATTTAAAAAATACATGCTGTGTACATCGTTCCAAGACTTGTGAAATTAACTTTAATACGAACCTCTGATCAAGCTGGTGATGCTCTGTGAAAGCAGTAGGTCTGTACATGGAGTTATCACTCTGCATTGAAACACTGCTGAGTCCAGAAGAGCAGGGCAGTCGGAGATAAATCCTGGGAAAAACATGTTTAAAGGGAAAGATATTAGTTAACCTGTAAAGTGCTTAAAAAAGTAATTTCTTCTTTACAGATTTCTTCCTCTTTTCACAGTTTCAATGTGTTCTATCATTTAGCAGATTTCAGTGCCAGACCAAGAGTTTGTGGTAATGAGTGTTTAACTGTGGAGGAATCCTGACCCACTGAAATGCTGTTGGTTTTGCTCCAGATGTAACAGAACCAAAACCTTCCTAAAACATGAAGTACTGTCTCTTCAGTCCACAGAATATTTTCCAAAAACTTTGAGGATCATGAAGATGTTTTTGATCTTTCGGGTCAGCAGTGGTCTTTGTCTTGAAACTCTCCTATGGTGGACATCTTGACATCTTATTGCTGAACTAAAATCTCTGATATGAAGTGAGCAACTTTAGAAGTTGTTCTGGGTTTTTGTTGACCTCCTGGATGAGTAGATGAAGCAGTCTTTCAGTCACTTTGGAAGGTCTTCCAGTCCTTGCAGGTTTCTGCACCATTTCATTTCTGGATGGCTCCCATAGCCATCACAGCCTTAAAAATGGCTTTGTAGCACTTTCCATTCTCAAATCAGTAACTTTGTCCCTCCACCACAATTAACAGATTAACTTAAAGAACCACCTACCTTCAAACTGTCAGCTATACACAATGAACTTTTAAAGCTTTAAGTAACCTATAACTCAGCTTGAATTTTCTAACCGTTCATCCTCTGGTTGTTGTTTCTCTTTGAAGACTACAGGTCGGTACATAGATCCATCACTACCAAGGTGCACATAGTCGGGTTCAGAACAGTCTGGATTCTGCTGGGAATTCCTGAGAGGAAAAATAGAAAGATTCATTTCTATTTAGATACAAATGGATGCAGAGCAGACCAGAAACAGAAGACCTGAGAGATCTTTTCTCAGTGGAAGGACTTGGTGATGTGCTCTACCTTCCTGGTTTTAGTCAGAATGCCAACAGGAGCGTTTTGGAACACGCTTCACATTTTTATCCATTATTTTTGCTTTGATTAATCACCAAATATCTGAGTCAAATCCATAAAGTTTGTGGATGTTAGCTGACAAAATGTGAATACCTTTGCGCATAAAAATGTTTGCAAGGTTCTGTAAAAAATCTTCTCACCAACTGCAGACATTAAGGAATTAATGGCTCTTGTTGCCAATACCAACTATTGATTGTTTTCTAAGTAGCATCATCCTAGTTTGTGTTTAGTAGATACAACTCAGTAATTTGTGAAACTTCACCAACACAGCATTTGCCTTCACTTTTATCTTTTATTTGCATCCAGTTTCTTCCGCTTGGCTGAGTGAATGCAGGTTGTTCTTCCATCACATGCACTCAACCAAGGCGAACGAAACTAACAGCCACCAGCAGTTAAAATCACTCACAGAGCCAACAAGATGTTTTCTGGTCAAAACCAAAACCAGCAACCTTTTGGTGAAATCAGTGTCATAAAGTGTCATAAATGGAATATTACATGTAAACATTTGGAAAATTGTTGCGTTAGTTCAGGTAAAATGCCTTACATTTTATCAGATGAGTGTTGATCCCGGTTGGAGACACTTGGATGATGGACTCTTCACTCTTTATCCGGTCTTTGCTGAGGGATACATCCAGGAACAAATGACCATTAATATCAAAAATTTCTGATAAATATGAACTGGAACTGATAAAATATTCTCAAACAGCATTGAAGAAACTCCACAACAACACAGATTGAGGATATTAGTCAGATATTTACAGTTTTCTCAGCTGTATAACTCACCTCAAGTCAAATTTCCATTTGTAAGTAAGAAGCCTTTGGAGACGCTGCTGCAGATCTGTAGCTTGTTCCCATGTCTGTCTAAATCAGTTTGTAAAGGAGCAGCAGAGACCAAAATATGGTAAGTGTTGTCAAACCAGTTCAGCCTGATGCAGTTTACTGTAAGAGAGCTTCCTTTTACCCTAACTCATGTGTCTGTGGTATGTAGGAATGTGATTGTCTGACAATGAGATATTTTTGTTACTTGTTACCAGACAGATCCAGAGAGCAATGATTCTTTGGCAGGTTTCTCTTACAAAATAGATCTTTAAATCCCAAAGGTTGTTAATAATAATAATAATAATAATAATAATAATAATAATAATAATAATAATAATAATAATAAT